ATAACAACAATACAAAAAACATTCCTCTTAAGAGATTCTCTTCCTTACCTTACCTTTACCATGCTCCCAAACCCACCCTATGCTACAGCCCGACAGACATGCTTAAAAGACCTGAGAAGTAATATCAGGGACAGGCCACCATAGGTAGAAGATATGGAGCCTAAAACAAACAAAAAGGCCAATCGTTAGAGAGAGACCGAAAGGTACTGGGGTTCAATAATGCAGGGCAGGAGCATTAACTTGCACAACTCCGAGAGAAATGATTAATATCAAGTTCGTTTGATTGGTGCTTTTTTACAGTTGTGGCTTTTATATTGAGTATGATGGGAAATCTTTAAAAACCTGGAGAGGAGATATGTGAATTTTAAAAAACTTAACAGTATTTGGGTATCCAAAAGGACATATTCTGCTGCATGGAGACAGAAGCAGCAAAGAAGCTAATGTAGGAAGGTGTTAAGGGGACTGGGCTAGGTGGTGGTTGTGACGGTGTTAAGTACTGGTCAGATTATATGCCCTCATATCCTGGGTGCCACCTCTGTGAATTCAACAAACTTTAGATCAAAAATACACACTATATAGTTAGAGAAATGATGATTACATCTACAAAGAACATGTACAGACATTTTTCTTGTCATTAGTCCTTAAATAGTACAGCACAACAACTATTCATATAGCATTTACACTGTATTGGATATTATAAGTAATCTAAAATCAATTTAAAGAATTGGAAGATGAGGGCAGGTTATATACAATTACTACACTATTCTATATAAAGCACCTGAGCAGCCTCAGGTTTTCGGCTGCAGACAGCCCTGGAATGAATTGCCCCAGCTCTCTCCAATACCAAAGACTTCAGTATAGTAGATAACGGTAGAGACGATCAGATTTGCTGATGATAAGACATGGTGTTGGAGAGAATGAGAGGAATCAAGGAAATCCAAAGTCTTATGACTGCAGGAATGGAAAGAAAGAAGCTGTTATTGATGGAGAGGGGAAGCTGGAAATAAGCAGATTTGGGGACAGTATCGCCTCAGTTCAGTACCTGTTATGTCTGTCATGTCTCTTACACACTCAAATAGAAATAAGTAGAAAGCAGATCTTGCATATGTGTGTGCGCACGCACACACCTTTAGTATCCACATGCACCCAGGTCCAGAGTCCAGTAATATTGAAAGCCACCAGTCTAAATGAGATCATCAAAGGAGGAGAGGTCTGAGGAGTAGCCATGGGCACATGAATTTTTTTTAAAAAAAAAACAGTTTATTTATTTATTTATTTTCATCTCAATTGTAATCCCTGCGGGTTCCCCATCACCAGGTCACCAGTGGGGCATGTGAATATTTAAAGGTGAGAAAAATAAGGAGAAAATATCAAAGGTTGCTAAATATTAGTAACCAGATGAGGAAAGCCTACCTAGGAGCCAAGGGAAGGGAATTTATCAGGAAGGAGGGCATATACTGCAGATATCAATTTAGAGGAAAACTGAGAACTTCCCATGGGATTTAGCAATAAGATGAAAATTCTTACAACCTAGAAAAAAAAGTAATTTTGCTTAAGACATAGAAGCAAGAGCAGTAAAATATGGTTCTGAAGCTTGGTAAAAATAGAAGAAAATTGCAGATGAAATATAATTGAAGAGTGTTGTGTACTTATGTGGTCCAGCAAGTATGAGCGGTCCCAGAGAAAATGTCTATAATGTTGAGTAAAGAGAACTGAGACTAAGATCCTATGGAATATCAGAAGTTAAATGGTCAAGTAAAAGAAAGAATAGAACTATGAACAGAGGGGTGAAAGAAGATTAAAACAGAGTCGTGTTCTAGAACCAAAGGTTAAGATGGTGAGAAGATGAGGGAGAAATAAATAAGGGCAACAACTTTCCACTGCTGGGTGCAGCCAAGTTTTGTACTTCCTCCTTCAAATCCATGTTTCTGCTCGAACAGGACATAGTTAACTCGTGGGTAAGAGCATAAAATACAAGTTTCAAAGGCTGAAGGAAGCACATACCCCACTACTGCATCCGTTTAGTGGAAAAATTCTGAGCCATATTCCAATGCCAAATTCCCAGATTTTCCCATGAAATTCAGTTCCAATTGTCAACTGTTTTAACTAGTTCAATAATTTGCCTTTGTTGGTATTCTTCCCTTTGTGGGTCATCTTCCCACTCACCCCAACACTGTCCCATGACTTTCTAGATAGTTATGCATCATTAACAATGGAGACACATTCTGAGAAATGAGCTGTTGGGTGATATCACTATCGTGTGAACATCAGAGAGCTTAATTACACAAATCTAGAAGTATAGTCTACCATGCTAAAAGGTTTAACCTACAGTCTACTAGACTAAAAGGTATAACCGCCTGCCACCATCTGTGTAAGTGTGATTCCTTGCTGACTTGAAACACTGTTAAGGACACATGACTGTTTACTATTTGTGCTTAAATCCTTGTCTTGGGCTCTGCTTTTATGCTTATATAGCTCTCTCTCCTCTGGTCTGTGAGCTCTTTAAAAATGTGTTTGTCATCTTTATCAGTTCCCAGTAAACTGACTGGAACATAGAATATGCTTCAATGTTTATTAAAGTAAATCATTTACATATAATAGTGCATTATAGGCTCCAAAAATCCCTTCAAATACATCCTCATTTAGTCTATAAAACATTTCTCCTACTCGAGTGTTGTTATTCCTGCTGTAAAGTTAAGAAAAAGAAAAGTTTAAATGGCTTAATAAACTTATTCAAGATTACACAGTTATTAAGTAAAACAGTCAGGGCTTAAGTATAATGTAATTTTTTGTGTCTATGAAAGAAGCATATACATGTAGAAGAAAGAAATGTTTTAGTAATTTAAATTTTAAAATAATTTGAAATTATATATGTAAGAAAAATTGAAATTCTAGGAATTCTTCATATTTAAGACTATTCATATAATGAAAAATACATTACTTATTTAATAGTTCATTGATGCTATCTATAAAAATCTCTCACCCACAAAATACTGGTACCAAGTAGCTAAAAAAAATAATAGTATGCCAATAGTATTGCATTTTCTCTCAAATGAACACACAATTCAATAGGGGAAATTCAGCAAACATGTTTTCCTAAGATCCTGAAACACCAATTTTGCTAAATTGCACTAATACATTGAAATGGTTGCTATCAGCAACCAGAGCTATAAAGCAAATAAAATACTAGGAAGAAGGAAATGAAAGGATAAATAGCTGAGACTCTTTCATGGCAGGGACAGTCTCTCTTGGCCCACCAAAATACCATTTAAAAACTATTTCACATATACAATTACAGACAAGGTAGTGTAAAGGATTAGCCAGAAACTCTGACATGGTTGTTGAGTGTTGATCATCAGCCCCCTGAGTTCTCACAACTCAACTATGGAAACACAAGTAACGTTTATTTTAAAACCTCTGGAGAAGAGTTCCCACAGTATTTTCACTCTAGTACACTATTTATTTTACCAGAAAACTTATCATTTATATATAATAGGAAGGTTAAAACAACTGCATACTCTTCCACCTGAGAACAAATACCCCCAGCATTATCGCTGATTGAAAGGATGCTAAGAGAAAATGAATTGAACTTACAGAATAATATTTTAGGAAAAGCAGCTGTAACAGATTGCGGATTTAGGTTCAATGCAATCTGAAGACATTTTGAAAGCTCTTTCTGAGAAGGTTGCTGTAGCAGAGGGCAGCATTCAAGGATGAGTAACTGAATCCCAGTATGGTCCCGGGGTGGTGTACTACTGGGTAAACATAAAGCCAATGTGGGGGAGGGAGAGAGAAATTTAAAATAACCCTAGAATGACTGGAGCCCAACCTTCTCCAGAGGGTTGCTCTGGAAGTAAAGTGAGTTAGCAGTTGTCGGTCAACTGAATGTACATAGGGAAAAAGAACAATTCTCATCATAAATGCAACTTAATTCCAGAATAATGGCAGATATAAAGGGAAATGTTAAAACTCTAAACCTCCAAGAGGAAAACACAAAAGTAACACTTCTATGTTTAGGGGAAGAGGTAGGCAAAGGTCTCTTAGATAAGACATAAGAAGTGAATCACAAAAGAAAATATTGGTAATTATGAACCCTTAAAACTTAAAACTTTCTATTTCATAACAGAAAACAGTAAAATATGGTATGTAGAAGCTACAATGTAAAGAGAGCTTCACAATACATGTATCTCACAGATGACTTCTATCCAAGACACATGAAGGACCTCAAACTAAGAGCAAAAAGATAGATGACTAATCAAATGGTAAAATTCACAAAAGGGGAAACTCAACAACAACAACAAAAAAGAACATTTCATCAAATTCATCAACAAAAATGCATCTTAAAAACCACAAAAAGGTACCAAGAGGCTGTCACCAGAAAGGCTAAAAGGAAAACATTTGACAATGCCCATTGTTGGGAAGGAGCTGGAGCACCTTCCACGTTCACAACTAGCTACTAGTATAATATTTAGGATAGTTATATCCTACTAGTTGGGATATTTATGTCTGCTAGATGTAGGATATAAACTGTTGCAGCCATTTCAAAAATATTTCTCTGAACAGATGCCTACCATGTCCAACCAAAGATAAGTACAAGAATAGTCACAGCATCACTATTTGTTGTCATCAGACACAGCTCAAATGTCCATCAACAACAGAAACACAAGTATTGTGCATGACCATAAACTAGAATGTTATACAACAATGAGAGTGTGTGAGGACACACTTCACAGCTCCTCTGAGGTGAAGTCCAGGGCGAAGCCTGGCTACCCGACAGCACAGACCTCCGTATAGAGGTTTCTTTGTGGTGCTTGAGATCGCTAGGAGTGCGTCCTAAAATGTTGCCAATACTCTATTTCTTGATCTGGGTGCTGGTTACATGAGTCTGGTCATATTTTGTTAAAATTGACTGACTTGCACACATGATTAGAAAACATCCTTCCATGAATGTCATACTTCAATAAAAACACATGAATGTGAAATGGAACACAGACACCTACGTTGTTTTCCTTTTTCCTGTTGTGGTGAAAAGCAAATTCTGCTGACGTTGCTGCTTTCCGTTTCATTTCTAAACTGGGAGCATTTGAAGAAATCTGGCCAGGAGGAGTTCACCATCCCCAGGACTGATTCACAGCCCTCTTTCGCAGCCTCGCAGAAGGACCTGCAGGGCAGGAGTCCATGACTAGAAGAAAAGAGAAAGGTGAAAATTAATATATTTACAGATGAATTTGAATTTGGTCATCAGTGCTGCTATCGTATCATAATTTATATTTAACTACAGTCAACACCTAAATTTCTACACTGAGTACTATAGTAAAGATTTTCTGTCACCCAATTGTGATTCCAGAAGAAATAAGCTACCTTCATAACATATCATCTAATTATCTCTTGTAGAAGAATTTATCCAAAAGAACTTTTTAGATTTCCCATGCTAAAGGAAAGCTGTCAACCAAAAAAAAAAAAA